TTCACACTTTCACTCGCCTTGTTTTTTGGTGTAATTCTTTCATTTCCTGCTACACCAATTTCTATGGCTGACAATTTGTGATTGAAGTTTGAAACATTTCTACGATAATGATAATGATAATTGTGGCAGTTCACATGTGTGTTTGTGTGTATGTACATCTACATATAGATAGGTATATTTGTACATTTCTATATATAATCGCCAATTTCTATGCTCTTTCATCGGCAGCCAAACCAATTTCGCAAGCCGTTCCCATTTCTTTTGTAGTTCCACAAATAGCCTCAAGTCATAAAAGTGTTATTAATAGTTCTGCGCCAACTGCACAGATTAGAGTTGAAAAAAAGCTGTGAAATGAGCAATATGAGCGTCGAATGCCATCAAATGTAGATATATATATGATTTGCTATACAAATATACATATATTGAGTTAAGCCTCAGTCTAGTTACCTAAGGCAGAGAAATGTGAAAACTATGTTGTGAAATAGTCTAAGCGAGGTTAGCTCGAGCAAGCAAGCTGTGACTACGTGGTATCTTAAAGTTGAGCATAATGAACAAAGCAACAATTGCTCTCAAGCAGACTAAGAATACTAAGCACCAAATTTGCAGGGTATCTTTGAGTCGGGCAGATCTATGTAAGTAATGCCAGTAGGCTATTAACAGGTCTAACCTAGGGTATCATTTGTCGATCATATCAATCATTGTTAGTAATCAATACACTATAGTTACAGGGCTTCTTTAGATTTAATACAGGGTATTTCGATCAGATCCACTCACATTTACTGTCACTTAGTTACAATTTTCGCCCACTGACCAAAGCTTTTCGTGTGTGTGGTCCACCCACGACGTGGAGCCGGAGGAGGCTGCGGGAAGTGGGGCGTGCCCGACCACCCTGGCAGCATTTGAGGCGATGCGCTAAGATGCTTATGAGCACAGCAACAATGTAGCGTAGGGGCATTTGGGCTGGGGTCGCCTGAAGAACCATCCATAGAAAATTCAGTGATTAATGAGCCACACGCACTGACGGCAGATGAGCTGTCGGGAGTGTGGGGTATAAGGTAAGGTGAGCAACGGGTAAAAGGTAGAGGTAGACATCGTGTGTAGAGATCTGATTGAAGAAATGTTTACTATGTCACATGACATCCCTCATATCATATGATCGATCACTCGTCTTATAGTTTTTAACTGAGCTGTAACCAGGTTTGGTTCAAAGACCTTAAGAGGCAGAGACAATAGTTTTGTTAAGTAGCTACACAGAATGTGCATTCGATATGTAGTACAGGGTATGTTCTGGTATTATCAAATGTAGTACAATAAGCTACATGTGGAGCAGCATACATAGAATCGATAATAACTGAAAGCCCGCTGCAAGGGTAACTAGCTAGTCGATCAACTCGTTGAACTACAGGCTCATTTTTAGCAGAGTCTGCTGCCAAGGCATAGACTTTGTACGACTTGAACTGGCTCAGCTGAGCGGGCATCTGGTAGTCGTTCAGACGTCAACTCACCTGTCTTGCAGCTGTTCCTCGCCGGCTGTCCGCATCAGATGTGGCAATCCTCAGTCCCCAATCACTCAATCGCTCATTTCAATTAGCCAATTACGCATGCCAATTGCCAATTGCCAATTGGCCAGACTCCACTCGAGGCAGAGGCAGAGGCAGAGGCAATGGCAGAGGCTAAGAGCTCAGCATTTGTAATTAGAGAACGATGCCATAATTTGCAGTTGCCCCCAAGTGGGGCAGGTTGCACGGAAGTTGCACAAGCGACACGCATGCAGAACTTGTCCGAGAAGTCAAGAATCAATATCAACGCAGACTCGATCTCTGCCTTAGCCTTAACCACTCCCAGCAGCCTCTCCCTCTCTCTGTCTCTCCCTCTCTGCTAATTTGCGAGTGCAAGACGGAAGCTGTTGCTAGCCAGTGTTTACTGTGCGCTGCGCTCGAATCGGAAGTTGCGCTTAGCCAAAAGACAGAGCGAGCCTCCGCTTCCGCTTCTGGACATGATCTGCGGTCAGCGCGAAGAGAGATACCAGCTCGGGTTCCGTGCTCTTCCTGGTGAAAGGGAAACGTTTCCTGTGCCCAGATGCAAAGCGCGGGCAGCTAGGGCTGCGCTTAGGTGGGCCTCTGCTAATGAGCTCGCAGGGCGGTCTCTTTCAAGCGCGCCTCGCGGAGCACAATCAAAGGGCAGTGCCACAGCCTTGGGGGCCTTGTCTTTAGATCGGAAAAGCTGTCCATGATAGGCCCCTTCCAAAGTCGACTCTCTGCTCCCTTTCTTGCCCTGCGGCTGGGGGTCATGCAAACGTTTCTTAATTAATTTTCTGTGCCCCGTCACAACATTAATCGTTGCGGCCCGTTGCCAAAAGCTGTCCAACAGCCCAAATCAACTCAGGTGAGAATGTAGCTCTCGAGCCCCATCGACTGCGCAATGCTCGTTAATGTCAGCCAAACCTTTCCTGTCTTGGGTATCTGAAAAGGTTTACGGGCACCAAAGATTACGTCTGTAGCCAAAATTATCCATGGCACATAAAAGTTCAACTCTCTGACAAAGATCTGTTAGGGTGTACGCAGATGGCCATATACCCGCTTCATACCCTGTGACTCGAGCACAAAAAATGTTAATAAATCAGAAACTCAATAAATAACGACGCAGCTCGATTATTTATTACGGTCTGTGCTGCGAGTGGAATTGAAAGTCATTTGATGCTTTTATTGTTTTTTTTTTATTTGCTTCTCTCGTTTTTTTGGGGACTGGCACGCGCCAAGCGACTTACACGAGTTCCAATTGGACTGACTGCGCATAAAGATGATCTGGCAACGCTGGCGAAAACGAAAACATTTGCAATTATATAGTTACATATTTATATATAAAACTATCTGGCAACGCCAGCATGCTTCATTATTACAATATATATAGGACTATATTGCTCTCTCACTCTCTTGCTCATTCTTTCTTTCCCTACACATCTCCTCGTATCACTCTCTCAGTCTCTATCTTACTATGTCTCTGAGTCTGTCTCTTTCTTACCATTTTTCCTCTATCTGTATCTCTATCTGTCTCTGTATCTTTCACTCTAAAAATCTTTCTCTCTCTATCTCACTTTGTCGCTCTCTCTCTCTCTCTCTCTCTCTCTCTCTTCATTCTATCTCTATCTCTATCTCTATCTCTATCTCTATCTCTATCTCTATCTCTATCTCTCTTTCCCCGTCTCCATCTCTCTCTCCCATTCCCTCTCTATCTCTCTCTCTTCTCTCTCCCACCCACGATTTGCCACTTGCCACGCTTCACTGTAACTGCACTTGAGCTAAAACAACTTGCTAGCCATTTCACACTTTTATCTCTCTTTCTTCATCTGTCTGTCTCACTCTCTTTCACTGTCTCATTTGCTGCTCATGTGTTATGTAATGTGATCGCAAGCCAATGACACCATCTACAACAACAACAATTGTGAAAACAACAACAACAGCTAGAAATTCTTGAGAACTGTTTCATTTTCGTTATTGTTGCGGTTTTCTTCTAACATAGCGGCACTTTCTGTATACGTATATAATTTTTGTCGTAGGCGTCGCTGATCAGCAGCGATTCATGGCAAGCCATAAAAGTGAGCCGAATCAGCAGTGCCTGCAATTCCGACTCACAACTGTAATCCCCCTGCTCCATCTCGCCCCCAACAAGTTCCCTTGCAGTTTTCTTTGCTCTAGGTGAATGATTCTCGCTTCGGATGCGAGAGATCCCGAGTTATTCACTTTGCTTTTTAAGAAAATTTCCCCTAAGCACATCACATCATAAACCTATTGTATAAATCAATAGATCATCTGTATCTCAGAGAAATTCTATTGCTTTTCACTCCTGCATGCATTGATAGATATTTTACAAGCCATAGGCAGAGAGCTCACATAGATCCGGAGTCATAAGACCTAACTCAGATAGTCTTAACAAGCATAGCATATCTACTTAGACCCAACTAATATCTGCGCACTCTCTGTCTGCCACATTTGGCATTTCCCGCAGAGCGAGTCCCAATACAAACCTCAATTGCTTTCGTCTAATGATTTTGAGATTCGCATTGGTCACGTCGTTTAGTCAGCTTGACCTTCTTCTCGAGTTTGTGACTCAGAGCTGGGTCTCTTCGGCAGCTGATGATGGCGACGACGTTGAACCCTTTGAAGACCTTCGCCCATGGCTGCGGTTCACACGCCCGCTAATTATTTAACCAGAACGCAAAGCAGGCGCAAAATTTTCGATTCGCTTATCTCTGTTGCTGTTGTTGTTGTTGGTTTTCTTTTTTTGGCCAAGTAAAGTGACTTCCTGTCTGAGCAAATGAGTCACTAGCAATGAACATCCACTTCCCTTATTTGCGCAGTTCTCCCTCACTCTTTGGGCTTTCCCTGTTCGCCCCTCTCAACTGTTTGTTGCGTCTTCGTTTTCTTCTTCTTCCTCCTCTTGTTGCCGCTGCGGCTCGTTGATTGAGCCAAATTATCGCAGGCAACGCTCGCTGCACACTTGGCTTAAATCACATGAACAGTTAACCAGGTGACAGAAGAACAAGAAAGAGGAGGAGAAGAAGAAGAAGCGTTACATTCAGTTTCCTTTACATATGTATATATATATGAATATATGCTGTAATTAAAGAATCAAGGGAGCTCAACAGTTGTCAAACAGAAGCTTGGACTAGGCAGTAAGAGTGTTGAGAATGCCTGACTAGCAAATACCCAGCCAGTGCCACCTATTGGATAGCTGCAAAAACTAGACTGATGCTTATATAAATACGGGCTACCGCTCTATGTCTATCTCTCACTCTCCCTGTGTATATATCTTTCTCTGTGTCTCTCATTCTCTCTCTCTCTCCGAAGTAAATCAGGAGCTAGGCAAGCTTCATACTACTGCAGAGTAGCTGTCTAAAATGCACACTAGATGGCGTGTATGTGCGAGTCAATCTAGTGACTCTTGCCTTATGAATTCGATTTGATTTCGACAGCAAGGGGGCAGGCCACAGGCAGTATTCATTTGCTTGTGTTGGGAGGCTGTCGGGTCTCGCATTGTGATGTGAGAAAGATGTCAGAATTTGTTGAAATTGACGAGAAGAGAGAATTTCAGCTAGCCTCTGCCAGAAGGCAGCGAGACGGATGCGCTGCTTGATTGGCCTGGGCGAACGATGAAATTTGGCAAGACCTTTGAGACGCACCTGACGATAGAATGGCGGCAGCAGTACATGCGTTACACGGTGAGCCACACAGCACACAATAGACACGATTTGACACGAACAAACACGTTGTCGAACAGAGCGTTAGATCACTGTAGAGACTTAAACTAACTTCAAACCGAAGGACCTGAAAACAATGATACGGCGCGGCGTCGATGGCGCCCCAACGGCCGAGGGCGGCGCAACGGATGCGGAAATCAATGCCTACCAGATCGCCTTCGAGGAGCAGTTCTTCACGGAGTGCATGCACGAGCTGACGCGCGTCAACAACTTCTTCCTGGAGAAGCTGGCCGAGGCGCGGCGGAAGCACGCCACCCTCAAGCTGCAGCTGCTGGCCACGGCCCGGGCGCCGGGGCATACGTTCAGCTCGTACTCCCTGCAGAGCTCCCAGCGCCTGCCCTCGATGGTCAGCCTGCGTGACAACAACAGCGGCAGCAATCGGAAGCTGATGACGCAGCGGCAGCTGCGGAATGCGTATAGCGAGTTCTATCTGACGCTCGTGCTGCTCCAGAACTTTCAGTCCCTGAACGAGACGGGCTTCCGCAAGATCTGCAAGAAGTACGACAAGTATTTGAGATCGACCAGCGGCAACGACTGGCTGGAGCAAAACGTTAACCCCGCCGCCTTCACCGACCAGCGACCCCTCGAGAAACTGATCATCGACGTGGAGGACCTGTACACCTACTATCTGGCGGGGGGCGACAGGTCGCGCGCGATGACCAAGCTCCGGGTGCCGCCCCTGGGACAGCCGACGCCGCCGCGAATGGTGTTCCGGGCGGGACTCGCACTGGGCATGTTCATCATGCTGGCCTGCACGACGCTCTTCAGCTGTGAGTGTTCCCCCTCACACAATAGCTCTCTCTCTGTCTTTGGTTTCTTACATTCCAGCTAGGGATGTAACAGTACGATGTGTCGTGCAGCATCGATATCGTTGATTGTATACGATATATCGGTGTATTGGCCTACAAAAGCCGAGATATCGAATAGATATCTGGCATCATATCGATGTCTGTCTGTGATTCTGTGTGAATCTATATATCTATTCAATATTCTATCAAATAGGCGGCACTCCTCAAGGGAGTACCTTAACCTATCGGCCCTTGATCGATGCTCAGCGACACATCGATACTCTCGCTTGCAAACGTATCGTATCCCCAATGACAGCACTAAGCGCCAACTAAAACATGCCTCAGACATCCGTAGGCCGCCGGAGGAGAAGAATATCGAGCCATTCATCCGACTCTACCGGGGGCCCTTCACGTGGGTGATATTCAACTTTTTCATGGCCGCCAATGTCGCCGGCTGGCAGCGGGCGGGCGTCAATCATGTGCTGATCTTTGAGATTGACCCGCGCAGCCATCTGCAGCCGGCGACATTCCTGGAGATCGCGTGCACCTTTGGCCTGCTGTGGACGCTGTCGATATTGGGGTTCCTCTTCCACGATCTGATCAATGTGCAGGACCCGTTCGTCTTCCCGCTGGCACTGACGCTGATCATGATAACGCTGCTGATCAATCCGCTGCCCATCATGAACTGGCCCGCGCGCTGGTGGACGATGCGGCTGGTGGGCCGTGTGGTGACGGCGCCGTTGCATTACGTGGGGTTCGCCGACTTCTGGATGGGCGACCAAATGAACTCGCTGGTCACCTGCATGGCCGATCACTACTACATTGTGCGCTTCTATGCGAACTGTTGGCTGCGCTATGCGAGCGTCCTCTTCTGCTTCGAGGAGGATATGTTTGTGCCGATCTCGCGGTGCCTGCCCGCCTGGTTTCGGTTCGCGCAGTGCCTGCGCCGGTTTCGAGACAGCGGCTCCAAGTCGGCCAGCTATCTGCTGAACGCGGGCAAATACTCAACGACGTTCTTCGTGGTCTTCTTTTCGACAATGCGGGGCCGCACGGATGGTATGGCCTATCCCATCAACCAAAACCCCCAACCATCTCCTCACACTCACTCTCCGGCAGTCTTTTGCAGATGGCTATGCGAATACGTTTAGCAACCCATACACCTGGTTCTTCATCCTGAGCTACATCATCTCCACCATCTATTGCTATGCGTGGGATGTGATCAAGGACTTTGGCATATTCAAGATCTGGCGCGGCGAGCACCTGTTCCTGCGCGAGAAGCTCGTCTATCCGCAGGCGTTCTATTACTTTGTGATTGTCGAGAATCTAGTGCTGCGCTGCTTCTGGGCCGTCGAGCTAGTTGTCCTCTATCACAAACTGATCACTCCCTACAATATCAAGACCTGCGCGAGCATACTCGAGATCACGCGGTGAGTCCCCATCCCACTCGCGCAAGAGATGCTTAGCTAATGTCAGTAACGCTTCGCCTCGCCCCTTCTCTTACCCCTCACCTCCCTACCCCCATCCAAAGTAGTCGATTCATCTGGAACTACATCAGGCTGGAGAACGAGCACTTGTACAACTGCGGCAAATTTCGGGCCACGCGTGACATCCACTTGGCCTCGCTGAACGCCCAGCAGGAGCGCATGCTGGAGAACATGATGGGCGAGGCAGATGGCACAGACCCAAGTGGTTCGTCCACGCGCCACGCCGACGAGCGACGTCGCCTTGCGAAAGAATACTTCTGAAGAGCCCAGTCCACATATACCTAACCCTACCCTTCCCCGGCTACTGCCAATGACGCATTGCTTGCTACCACGTCCAAAGGTGTCTGTCCTCATCGTCGTTTTCATTTGAGACATTTTAATTCATTCATTTGTGTGAGCCTAAGAAAATGAAAATAAAATAAAGTATAGCGTACCCAGATTACGAACTGATCCACATGTTGACGGGGGATCGCAGTTAGAAAGAGATAGACAGGCAGAGAGGCGAAGGATCGGAGAAGGGAAGCAGTTGAGGATATAGAGAAATCTTGAGTCTGACAGACGAAAAGCAGGCAGTTCAAGCTCTGAATCGGGAGAAGGGCAACAACACTCGAGAACCAAAGCTGAAGAGAGAGAGGGCGCAGAGGAAGCAGCTGATGATCGGGCAGCAAGCTTCGAGTAAAGCTGCGACACGCGCCAAACCGGTTGCACAGCTGCACCCAAATGCGGTCTGGCTCCTGCCTGACCAGCACCACTGTCCTCCTCTCTCTCTCCCCCTCTCTACACCTTCGAGTAGCAATTGTCATTGCTTGCACACAAACTGGGACTCGTGTCGCGATCGCGACTCGATCGCCGTTGTTAAGGAGATCTTTTAATTACCGTGTTTGATTGTTGTTGATGTCGTTGATGTTTTTTCCCTCTTTTGATTTAATTAATGAAGCGATTAGCCAAGGAGCCAGCCACTCACTCAATTTATGCAGCCTCATCTGCCCGAACTGTCGCATCACGATCGTTAAGAGTCAGCGCAGAGAAATTACAGTTTTTCAGCTGGGCATGGGGCCTGTCATATTAAGTAATATCCTACTTTTACCAATCACCAACGAGCTGTGCCTAGGCGGTGCTGGACATTGGCCAGAGTCGACCACTTGAACTAGTTGGCAAGCTGAGTTCGTTTGTGCCAGATGGGAAGCCTTCAAAAGCCATTGAATCAAAGTGGAAAACTCTTGGAGAAGTTTTGATTTTGGCTTTATTGAATAAAGTTGTGGGAAGAGTTTATACTCAAGGATCTATTGGGCTTCATTTTTGTTAGTGGTTTCTGTGTGGCTCACTAAAGGACACCTTAATGCAAGACATAAATGCCTTACCATAGGCCCCTAGATCCATCCTCGAACTTTCCTAGCCTTGCATTGAAACAGCTTCAAGGCCCAATTGAAGAGGACGCAAATTGGTTAAAACCCTCTTCAGCTCTGTTTGCTCACTGATTAAAGCTGAAACTGAAGTTGATTCTCCAGTGGACTGGCTGGCCTCTCGGCTGATCTGGCCAATTGGCTCTGTCCGTCTGCCTGATGTCTGTCTGTCCAGTCGAGTGCTGTTTTTATGCTTCTTCGGCTTATGCTTTCTCACATTTGACTCGGGCACGAGGCAAACATATAAATTTCTATCTACGCTATTGACAATTGCAACTCTAGCCGAGCTGAAGCGGAGAAGGGCTGTAGAAGAGGCAGCTGCCAACAGGACAGGATGTGACAAGTGTTCCAATGAGCTTGGTGCCTGATGACTAGTGCCTCCAGTGTCTCCAATGCTTGCTGTGTACAGTTGCCGCTAGTTGCTGTCATACGCGTTCATCTAGCGAGAAGGGGCTATATTCAATGTGAATATTGACTGACATTGAAGCATTTTTCCCTAAAGTTCTGTTAGATGTGAAGTGAGTATCATTTTATCGCTGTACCAGCTTATCGCTGCACTTCGATTATTATCGATTATGCAAATCAAAGCTGTTAAATATTAAGGGAAATGTGTCTGGATATTAGTACTGAAATTAGAAATTAGAATTAGAAAATTAGAAACAATTAGTGAAATGTCATCGGGATTTTGATTTAGATTTTTACTGAAGATAAATCTGTGATATTATTTAAATATACATATATGGATTAAATATCGCTTGAGTTCAGATTAAGTACGAAATTCGATAACATTGATATAGAACTGATGACAACTCTGGTGCTTGGAATAGTTCATGTAGTAAGTCTAAATAATATGTTAGCCAAGTCTAGGCTCAACTGAAGGTCTGTGCGGAGTTTGATTAGCTGCCGATTGCCGAGTGCTAGACGAGTATTGTGCGGCCGCATTAACTCTGCTTGTCATGTTCTTGCTTGTCGCTGTTGTTAATTGTTGTCGTGTGTCGTCGTCGTTGTCGTCTATTCTGTGCCTGGCCAGCTAGCTGGGAGACAGCACACTCTGTCTCCCTCTCCCTCTCCCTCTCGCTCTCTCTCTTTCGATATTTATCTGTCTGTTGTTGATCTTGGTACAGTTTGCTGCACACGCGCCAAAAAGCATAGCAAAGCAAAGCAAACAAAGCAGTCCAAAGATAACAACAAACAAGCAAACAAACAACGAGGAAAAATCGAGTTCGATTCGAGGAACAACTCGATTCAGCAAAGCAAGAAGGCGTTCCTCGTTGCCGCGTGTGCCATAAATGTAACAATCGCCAATTCGTAAATGGAAAATGGAAAATTGTCGCAGACATTACGCAATGCTGAACAGAGAAACAGACAGAGAGAGAGAGAGAGAGAGAGACAGAGAGAGTCAGAGATTGCAAGCAAGAGAGATATCAACCAAGTACATGTTTCTCGATTGTTTATTCGTCTCCGTGCATTTGGACAAGTATGCATCGATATATATCGAAAATAGCGATAAGTTGATTGATCCTTCTTCGATAATCGATATCATTGCCAATTGTTCCTCTATCTCAAGCTGATCTTAAACTAGGATCATATAGTTGGAATCGTAAGCTGAAGCTTCGATTCAGCCTTCATGCTAAATGCACGTAGCTGAAATGTCAAGCGATTAAAGGCTCGATTAAATATTAATTTCAATTAAAATAATTTTAAAATTCTGAAATCAAGCGAAAGACGCGAACAGCTGCAGCTGCGACAAGGCAAGAAAAAAACCTTTGCAGGCTAAGCTGCAGCTGAAAACCCGAAGCTGACTCGTAGCGAATGACTTAGAACTTGCCACACGGCCAAATTTATGTGCACAAATTAACAAGAAGAAGCAGCAGCAGCAGCTGTAGCTGTAGCTGCAGTGGAGGGAAAGGCGGAGGGGGCAGAAGAAGCAGCATAAGAGGCAATCAAATGACTGCCACATCAATTTATGAGCAGCCGCTGCCAAATCTCTGAAAGCTGTCCGAAAGGCGCGTGCTGCTGGCCAGCTGCAAAGCAGAGCGAGCTGTGTATGAGAGGGAGAGAGAGAGAGAGAGACGGAGAAGGGTAGAAGGCAGCGGGGGATCAGAGCATTGGTGACAAGGAGCTGCAAAACCAGGAAAAGGAGCTCAAAACTTGTTTCGCCCTTTCTCTGTCTTTCTGTCTCCCTCCCTCTCTCTCTCTCTCTCTCTCTCTCTCTCTCTCTTTCATTCTCTGTGTCTGCTTGTCTCGTGCCTGAGCTTGCGTCCTGGCTAAATTTAGCCAGCAGCTCAGCTGCAAAAAGGGCTTTAACTGTTGCCCAAGTGGCGAGCGCGTGGCTCGCAGCTGGCACCGACTGCCCAATGCTCGCTCATCAATCCATTTACCTCTCCAATGCCATTGATATATGCAAGGGCATATGCCTTTAGCTTCGTCAAGTGGGCGTGAGGCGGCAGCAGCTGGCCATGAAACCAATATGCCTGAATTGCGCTTCATGAACGGGCATATACATATGTGGCTAGTGGACTTTGGACGCAAGTTGTTATTGCTTGTTTGTTTGTTTGTTGCTGCTGTTGTTGTTGTTGTTTGTTGACTGCGCGCCATTTGCTTGAAGGAGAAGAAGAAGAAGACGCGAACTGAATGCAGCTGATTCGCAGTGGAGTCGCCCGGAGTAAGCCCCAATGGAAAAGAAGATGTAATCTTAATATATATATATACATATATACATACACACATATAGGAATAAGAAGAAAGTATCTTAAGCGCCAAGATTCTAAATATATGCAAACAATATATTTATTCATGAGCGAGAGTTTATCGAAAATATTTCAAGAGCTCGAGCCGAGGCGAGGAAATCAAAGTTGGAAATTTCATTTGCTTCATTTCTTCGGCTCTTGGGCTAAACGAGCTGTAAAGCATATGCAGAAGAGACTTGCATAGCTACATAGGCATACATACATATACTTGTATATACATACATATATGCATAGCAACATATATTAATAACTATGCCTTAAGCCAATTGGAAACACGTTTTATTTTCCAATAAGAAGCTTTTCACTTTTCTATCAAAATTCATTTTGAAATTCTTCATTAATTATTAATTTCTTTAATCATTAATTGATTTTAAAGTTTGAGATGTTGAGTTTACTCCAAGTTTCCTTTGCTGGCCAAGATTCCAATTGGAATTCGAATTGGATTCTGTTTTAGCTGCAATTTCGTGTGCTGCTTTGGCTTATTTCAATTAGATATATATAAAATGCTTCAGATTTAAGCAAGAGCTTTTCCATTCAATTGCTTTATGAGCAAAATGTTGTAAAAGGGGGCGTGTCAGCGCGTATTTCAAACAGCAGCCGCAACGAATTTTGATTGAAGTGGACTTGGTGATTTTGTGCTTTTCTTGGCTTGGCTTGGCATGCATAATTTGCAGTGGGAAATTGATTGCAGGTGGGCGTGGCTGTGGCCAAAGCTAAAAATATGGCCAAAACTAAAGCTAAAACTTGCGGCAAAGGAAAGGCAGCCAGGCAAAGGCAACAAGTGAAACAAAATTGAATTTAATTAGCTAAATCAGCTAAGCACTCTGTGTGTGTGTGTGTGTGTGTGTGTGTGTGTGTGTGTGTGTGTGTGCAGCCAAAAAGAATGCCAAATGCAGGCAAATTGCTGACAGACAACGGCAATGGGCAAACGGGCACAAAATTATGATAATTGACAGCAATTCGCACAGGCAGTCGCTAGATTGCAGCATTCCTGCACACACACACACACACACACACACACACACACACACACACACACAGACAGACACATGGGCACACACATACCAATGGCTAAGTATATGTTGGCCAGCTCCATATGCCAGTGGGCGGCGC